GTCCAACATTGGTACCGCCTTCCTTGACGACCTCTTCCTCTACCCGGGTATCAACAACGTCAGCATGCGCGCCAACATCAGCACCGCCCCCGTCGTCCGCGCCATGAGCTCCGAGCCTTCGTGCGACACCGGTATCGTCGACTTCCAGCTTGGTGGCCGTGACGTTTTCAACAACGGCGAGGACCTTGCCTACTTTGGCAACGCTCTCAGCGCCTCCAACCTCACCGTCCCCATTGAGTTGGCGACGGCCTTTGAGAGGGACGTTGGTCTCACCTTTGAGTGCTAAATCATTCAATCATCTGCCTGTAGTAGAAGATGTGCATATGTCTGTTTATTAATGAGGAGGAAACCTTGCATGTTTGGGACTATGATACCAGAAGAAGAAATTGACTCGTGGCTGTACCACCATTTACAACCCACTCGCTACTTGCTTGGTGATAAGATGGACTGTGACAAAGTGTTGGACTGTGCGAACATAGGGTTGTCAGTGTTACCCCAGACGGGCAACCAGAATTCCGGGATTGTCGGCGAGACATGGCTACATGGCCGGATAGGCTTAGGATTGCTAACGACTTTCGGCTGCCCGTTAGCGTGTCACGTTGGTCAGCCAGATCCGGTCGACTACGACACCCTGACGCAGTGCGCGCTGATCATCAGTTGTTGATCGCGGCGCACCTCGGCCGCGCTTTGATTCCGAGCACCGCGGGTGCAAATGGAGCAGTGCGCACCGTCAAGCAAGAAGTCAAAATTCTGGCGAGCTCTCCCAATTTCCACCCTTCCCTGAAACTACCCACCGCATCATTATCACATCAGCTTGACGGGATTGTATGAGACAACAAGTCGCTCCGTGAAGCCGTTGATGCGTTGCGCATGCCATGATCCGTAGATGCTCGTCCCGCACGCTATCAACGTCCTCGGCATGTCACATGTGAAAAGGGACACCAGATGCCTCATCCTGGGACCCTAGTCCCGGAGTATCCTACTGCACACGACATTCGATCCTCGGGATCTCCCCCTCTCTCTCTCCCCACACACCCTCCTTTTACCATGCCCCGGCTTTCCTCTTGCTACCCCTCAACCCCCCCGCCTCACTCCCGCTCCCCGGCGTGCCCCCACCACTGCTCGCTGCGACGAAATCGACCCCCGTCCGCTTCCCCGCGCTCCTCTCCGCCTCCCTCTCCTTCCTCACCCTCTCCTGACTCAACCGCAGCGGGCCCCGGAAAGCCCAGTCGGGAAACCCACGGCCTTGGCCGCCATCGCCGTCGCCGTCGGCAGCGGCCCCCGCAGGATCCCACGCGCCGGCCGACAGCGTCGTGGCGTACTGGGCGCGCGGGTCGTCGTCGTGCCCGAGCCCGACAAAGCCGAGCAGCTTGTCCATGAGGGCCGGGTTGCGTAGCGCGGCCGAGGCTGTGAGCTTGGCGTTGAAGTGGACGCCCTTGCTCTTGAGGTCGAGGAACTGCTGCGTCTTGGCCGTCAGGGCGGGGGGCGGGGAGCCTGGCGGCGAGGGCGGTATGTCGAGGTTCGGCGTCGGCGGCAGCGTGAGGTCGCGGAGCAGGGCGCCCGAGGCGGTGTACGGGGAGACTGGTCGGGCTGTGGCGGCGTGCTGCGGCGCCGAGGGCGAAGAGGGAGGGTGGGAGGGCTCTGGGAAGTACGACGGCGCGTCTGCGTCGGGGAGGGAGGGGCCTAGGGGCACGGAGTGTTGCTGGATAGGACCGATGGGCGGTTCCTCGGGGGCTGGGGCTTGTGGTTGAGGTGGTAATGAGGATGAAGGGGTTGGTTCTGGTTCTGTGGGCTTGGAGGAAGCGTTGGCGGGCTCGGCCTGGTGAGATTGTGAGACGATGTTGTTGACGGGGGGCATTCATGGAGAGGACTTACCTTGACGGCCTCAACCTCGTTATTCTCTTCATCGTCCTCGTCGCTGCTGTATCCGACCAGCAACGCCATTTCGAAGGGGTCCTTTGCGTCAGAATGGCCCTGGATTTATGTTCTGAATGAGACTCGGATGTTGAAATGATACATCGACAAGGTGTTGTTCCGCGCAACGTTGTCGTGTGAGACGGTCGTTGACATGAAGTCGAGTGTGAAAGTTGCGCCACAGCAGGTAGGAAAGCCGCGCCCCACCCACTCACTCTCCAGCCACTTCGGATGGTCTCCCAAAATTCGGCAAGGCTCCACCAGCACCCAAACGTCACAGGTGAGGACTCTACTCGGAGGCTTCCATCACTCCTTCTCCACCTTCACAACCGTACAAGTTCGCCGCCATCACTCTCCTCGGCATCCATCACCGGTCGCACCGGTATCACTCTCATCAGAGGGTTGCTAACTAGTATCACTCAACGCAACGGCCACCGCGCCCACGACCGGCAACTCCTAAGCAACCCCCCCTTACCGAGAAGAAGCCTCCGAAGTAGCTCTCACCACCTGTCTCGCTGAGCCTCGAGAACCACATCATGGCTCGGACCAGGGACTCGCGCTCACCATCGCCTGCAGGAAGCCATCACAGCTCGAGACGTCGCAAAGAGGATGATCGACGCGAAAGCCACCGCCGCGATGACGGGCGCGACTACCGCCGGCGTGACCGCACCCGGAGCCCTGCCGACGTGAGAACACACCGCGGCCGCCGCGATGAGGACTTTTCTGACAGAACCCACGAGCAGCGCCGATACCGCGACCGCGACAGTGACCGCCGCCCACGCGACGACCGCGATGCCTACCGCCGCAGAGACCGCTCCGTAGATCGAGACGACGGCCGACGTCGACAGCGGCGGTCGCGCGAGAGGTACCCCGACCGCGAGCGCGAGCGCGATCGCTCCGCCGACAGACGAAGATACAGGGATGGCGACAGGGACAGGGACAGGGACAGGGACTATCGCCCACGCCGCGACGACTCGCGGGACCGCAACCGCCGGGCGTCGGGAGGGTACCGTCGAGTCGCAGCCTCGCAACAGACGTGACGGCCAGCCGCCCACGAGGTGCCGCTGGCCCTTCCTCTGCCGGTGCAGCCGGCCGTGAGACTGCGAAGCCCAAGCCTGTCGCTGCTGCGCCCGCGCAGTCGGAAGCCGACAAGAAGGCCGAGCGCCTGGCGCGCCTCGAGGCGTGAAGAGGGGGGGAGAGACCAAGAAGGAGACTGAGGTTAATCCGAGTCAAACTAGGAAACCCCCCGCCGAGATGGACCAAAAGTCGGTCGCCTCTCCAACCGTTGCGTCCCCCGCCGTCGCGTTGCCCTCGGCGGCCTCGCCGAGGTCGCAAACTATGTCCGGGCCGGCGTCGCCTGCCCCCTATGCTGGCAAGTTTGATCCAAAAGCCATCGCCAAGAAGTCAGCGGCGTCGTCTCACAAACACGGTACTGCTAACGGCGTCCTGGGCGCCTTTGACGCCCAAGTCAGCAAGACGGCAGCTCCAGTGAAGCAGGACTCCAAAGGTATGCATTCGCATCGTACACCCTCGTCCATGAAACCCACTGACAGCCATGGAACAGCATTCGCACTCCCGGCAAATCGCGGTAATATTAGCACGTTCGGGTTTAGCAAATCCAGCAATGAGAAACCCCAGGCCAAGCGAAAGCTCGTCCTCGATGAGGAAGATGACACCAAGAGAAAGCTGACCAAACTGCCTGCTCTCCCGCTCGAAGCCGACGATACCCCCTACGCTGACCAAGACGAGGGTGACGATGGCGATTCGGACGGCGACATCTTCGCCGAGAACGAGGAAGAGGCCGCAGCAGCGGCCAGAGCGGCGCACGAGAGGCGTGAGCGAGAGATGAAGGTCGATACAGACGAGGCACCAGAAACGAACGGCACCACGGAGGAAAAAGCTGACGGCGATGAGATGGAAGTTGACGGTGCCGGCACTGAGCCTTCCGCACCAGTCGTTGAGGAGGTGCAGCCGGAGCCGGTGCGTGAGGAGCCTCAAGAAGTCATGAAGGTTGACGAAGAAGAAGAAGACGATGACGCCGATCCGCTCGACGCTTTCATGGCAGACCTACAAGAGACAGGATCGAGGCCGGCGCCCAGGGCAAAGACCAAGCCCGCTCCTGAACCAGAAGCTTACTACAGCGATGACGACTTTGCGTACAGGGACGAGGATCCCAACGCGAAGAACCCTCTGGCCGTCAAGCGCAGGAAGAAGGAGATCCCTATCGTCGACTACAGCAAGATTGAGTTTGAGCCGGTTCGCAAGAACTTCTGGACTGAACCCGCAGAACTGAGCGCCCTCACAGAAGCGGAGACTAACGATCTGCGCCTCGAGCTAGACGGTATCAAGGTGTCTGGAAACGACGTTCCCAAGCCTGTCCAGAAATGGGCGCAATGCGGCTTGACACGGCAGACTCTGGACATCTTGGCCGATCTGGGCTATGAACGACCCACGTCCATCCAGATGCAGGCCTTGCCATGTCTCATGTCGGGACGGGACGTCATTGGCGTCGCGAAGACGGGTTCCGGCAAGACCATGGCTTTCCTTCTCCCCATGTTCCGGCACATCAAGGATCAGAAGCCCATCAGGGGTGACGATGGTCCCATCGGGCTCATCATGACGCCGACGCGCGAGTTGGCAGTGCAAATCCACCGCGACTGCAAACCGTTCCTCAAACCCATGGGCATGCGTGCCGTTTGCGCCTACGGCGGCGCGCCCATCAAGGACCAAATTGCTGACCTCAAGCGTGGTGCGGAAATTGTCGTCTGCACGCCGGGACGCATGATCGACCTGCTTGGTGCGAACCAGGGGCGAGTGACCAATTTGCGCCGTGTGTCCTATGTCGTCCTCGACGAAGCGGATCGAATGTTTGACATGGGTTTCGAACCTCAGGTCATGAAGATTTTTGCCAATATGCGCCCCGATCGCCAGACCATCTTGTTCTCCGCGACAATGCCAAGGATCATCGATTCTCTGACCAAAAAGGTCCTCAAGTCGCCGGTGGAGGTCACGGTTGGCGGTCGCAGTGTCGTTGCCCCTGAGATTACGCAAAAGGTCGAAGTGCTCGATGAGGGCGACAAGTTCTTCCATCTGCTTGGTCTTCTCGGCGAACTTTACGAGGAAGACGAGGACGCTAGGAGTCTCATCTTTGTTGAACGCCAAGAAAAGGCAGATGACCTGCTCAAGGAGCTCATGACCAAGGGCTACCCGTGCATGTCTATCCACGGCGGCAAGGACCAAGTGGACCGAGACTCAACCATTTCCGACTTCAAGAAGGGCATTGTCCCCATTCTCATCGCGACGTCTGTCGCCGCAAGAGGTCTGGACGTGAAGCAGCTGAAGCTGGTCGTCAACTACGATGCCCCCAATCATCTCGAGGACTATGTCCACCGTGCTGGGCGTACCGGTCGCGCAGGGAACAAGGGAACGGCCGTCACGTACATCACCAGTGAGCAGGAGAACTGCGCCCCCGGCATCGCCAAGGCCCTCGAGCAGAGCGGCCAGCCGGTGCCAGAACGGCTCAACGAGATGCGCAAGGCCCACCGCGACAAGGTCAAGGCTGGCAAGGCCAAAGACACTTCCGGCTTTGGCGGCAAGGGCCTCGACCGGCTCGACGCGGAGCGTGAGGCGGCGCGGTTGCGCGAGCGCAAGACGCACAAGGCCGAGGGCGACGACGACGACGAAAAGGAGGAAAAGCCGGCGGTCAAGGAGAAGGAAGAGGAGAAGCCGGCCGTGTCGATGATCCAGGCGGCCACGTCTGCCATCATGGCGCGAAGCACGGCGAAGCCCGACGGCGACGCCAAGGACAAGGAGTCGGCGCAGGCCACGGGCCCCGGCGGCAAGCCCCTCGACAAGGTCAGCGCGGCCATCAGCGCCATCAACCAGCGCCTCGGCAAGGCGGGCCAGCTGCGCTCCGGCCAGCCCATCGACAACAAGGGCCCCGACGCCGGCGCGTACCACGCCACGCTCGAGATCAACGATTTCCCGCAAAAGGCGAGGTGGGCCGTCACGAACAGGACCAACGTTGCCAAGATTCTCGAGGCAACGGGCGTGTCCATCACGACCAAGGGCACCTTTTACCCGGCAGGTAAGGAGGTGCCGGCGGGCGCCGACCCGAAGCTGTACATTCTCGTCGAGGGCGACACGGAAGTCGTAGTCGGTGCGGCCATGACCGAGCTTACCAGACTGCTCAGCGAGGGCGCGGTGGCGGCGGATACTGCGGACCGTCGTGCACCAGCGTCGGGACGCTACAACGTTGTGTAAAAGCCAGGACTTATTACTGGGCGGCGCTTTTTTCTTGGAGGGCGTTTTACGGGATACCAGACCGGCAATAATACAATGCAACAGGTTATTCATGTGCGATGACTTCATTTTCCAGTGACGCAGTGCCACGGCGACAACAGTCCAATGTTGACAGTGGGTGGAGGTTGCAAATGTTCCAGCCTCTAGGAGGTGTGACGGCCCATGAAGCGCAGAGCCGCCAGTCATCCTGTCCAAGCTGCACAGCATTCACTCACAGATCCCGATTGATGTTAGCAATCCTTGCATATACAGGAGCAATACTACGCTCCCAAGGTATAGATGGGGGCGTCCCACGTCCATGACGGCATGGAGGAGAGAAATAAAAACCAAGATCACCGCTTCGTAAATGCCACAACAGGACAAAGAGGCCGCTTCCTTCCCAAGGCGCTCTTGTCCATAAACCGCCGACGCCAAGCAAGCACATTTCGGAAATGCAGGAGAAAAAGAATCGAAATGCCCAGTCATATACGCCCAAGTCACCAGGGAAGCCTACCCTCGCCTCGCGAATTCTCAGTTGTAGTCTCGCGCCACGGCCGCCGCGTCCGCAGCCCGATGCTGCCTCTCCTCGGCGCTAAGCTGGTTGAGGGTATCATTGCGCGTCTGTTTCTTCTGGGCGTTGAGCTGCGCGCCGAGCTTGCCCGTTGGTTTGCTGGCGGCTTTGGCGCGGGCCTATTGTAGGAGGGGAAGAGTCCCCCGTCTGTCAGTGTCTCGCTCAATTCGGCGGGGCC